CATTTCCGGATCGTGTTTATCTTTACCACAGTACACGCATCTGGGCTTGCTTTTACATGACTTGCTAATATGGCCTGCTCTGAAGCAGGAGAAACATATTTTGACTTTGGGAATGTAAGGGTGTACTAGATGTCTGACCTTGAAAATGGAAACTGACCCCGGCAAGGTTTGACCGGCAAACTTTATACACACGGTACGCGAGGACTCGTACCTATACGAGTCACCATCTTTCACTCGGCGATTAAGCCTATGCACCTCATAGGGTTTGGGAACAGACTCTATGTCGCCTAGCAATTCCTCAATCGGCAAAGATTGAGCAATATCCTTGATTATATCGATTTTAGACGTCTTATAAAATGGGATAAAAGCTTTAAGATTGCCAGTGATTGGTCATCAATGAGTATAATTCGCGGCTTCCGTGCTCGCAAGGATTACCTGCACGTGGCCCTTATTAATCTTTTTTACTTCAAGAAGACCGGTTTTAACAGTTTGCATAAGGATGCGGCCAATAAATAGAGGGTGGGTATTAACTGCTTTAGGTTCCAAAGTCGGATCGCTATCTAACGTGCGAACATGCACAATGTACGGCTTTTTGTCTACGGAAGAATATCTCGCATTAATCAACTTACGTATCGTGGATAATGGCGGCTGTTTAGATTTCGCGTTGTGGTTAGGATTGTGAGTATTGAGGTTACCTTGAAACGAAGGCTTGGCGCTTTTTTTGTTTGCTGTAACGTTACCCGAATCGTTGGACGCTCTTTTTCTATTCGTAGGCGGGTCAATCTCCGGCTGTGTCTCGTTAGATTGCGTAGCGGGGAGAAAGAGGGGGATCAGAAATATTATTGCACGAAGCTGGAAATATCGATGTCGGAGAAACAGGGTTTGTGCTACTAAACGAATCTGATTGTAATCCAGAAGCGTCTACGTGCCATGCCGGATTAGTAATATCACTATTTTCTGCGAAAGTCTCGAACTTTTCATGGAGAGGAAGAGAAAAAGACATGGTAATGGCGGTGCGTGATCGCGAGTTCAAACGCGATTGCGAACGCGATTCCATGTACGATGCCGATCCAGAACGCGAGCGAGACTGCGGGCGATCGCGGGATCGCCGATGATCATGATTGCTCGAGTCGCGGCTGTATGGAGAGGAGGTCTGAGGAAGATTCCCCGGGATCTCCCCTTCCTGAGTATTGCAAGAGCCGAAGCCTCCTGCATGCCGATCGGAAACACAGAACTTTGCTATCGAGAATGAATCACGCGCATACGACGGAAAGGAAGGAGTAATCTGGCAATCGCTGCCAGATACGCACTATATGCGACAGCGAAATCGTCCGTAGTCACACGCGATGAACGCGCACTTTACGCGAAAGAACGTAGTAAAATATTCTAGCGGGACAGATGCAAACGACACGTCCGCTCGTGACCACTGTCGGCGCGCGAATCCGGTTATAATAACTGACTGATAGCGCGCTGAACGCATTGACTGCACTGAGCGCAGTACGCACATGCATACGTACATACATATATCGAGATATCGTCTCGAATGGATTTACTCGCTGGGATGATAATACCTAATTTACCTAAATAGAAATCTTTCTTCTGACCGATAAGTCTATCGACCTAATTTACCTACTAGATCGATAATAATGCACGCGCAATATTGAAACTGGCGGGCGATACTAGCACCGCCAGTGTCGAAAAAGTGAAAGTGACGTTCTGACAACGATATATATGTATAATTATATACCTACTCTTATATACGGCCATATAATATTGTTTAAGATTATATTTTCCATTTCTTATGTGATCATATATAATCATATTTCTACTAATATAAACTAATATGAATAAATAAGAGGTTTTTTCCCGGGCACGTTTTCATGACCGGCGACTTACTTATTTGTATTTGTTAAATTTGCCCTTTCCGTGTTAACATACATTTTTTTCAACTCGACTACTTCCCGGAAAAAAAATCGAACTTTTGAGGTTTCAGATTAGAACAGTATATGAATTATCTTTTTGATGGAAATGGAATTCTAAGTACATTTTTCAATTCTTTCGAAATCTTTGAAGAATAAGTCAATTTCTAGAATCTGAAAATAGAAATTGCTAATTCTGAAATCTAATTTTTTCCACTTATTTAATATTCGTCTTTGATTGAATTTGTATCAATTCTATTTATCAAATTAAATCTGAATTCAGTTAAATGCTTTTTAATTAACTTAATATAAATTATTTATCTTAAGGTGATTGGGCCATCAGAGCATGTTAAAGAAAAAAATTCAAATTAAATATATGTTATAAAAAAACCTAAATACGCTTAAATTTGCAATTTTGAGAAGATCTGACGTCTAGTTTTTGAGATATTAAATCTCAAAGTTGGCATTTTTAACATAGGTTTTATGGGAAATTGTACCGAAAACATACATTTTTCGAGAATTTCATTCACTGTCTGTAAAGAAACAAGTTCAAAAAACTGAAAATAACATTATTTGATTCTTCTAGCACTTGTTAAGTATAAGACAAAACGACGTTGACGTGTAATAAGGCCAAAAATTCAATCAAAAGTTGATGAATCGTCGCGTTTCTTGTCGGCCTTTCGATCAGTTGTACGCGACGTGAACATGTGGCAACGCCGCGCCGTGTAGTGTTTTCTTTCCACAGTACTATTCTTTTGCAAGCAAATCTCCCGTTATCAAAATTGTTTGTTACCTTCCATTATTTTTTAACATAAACACAATACATAACCTCACTCAAACACATGGCACTGGCATGATAGCTGCCTACAGCGAAGAGATGCAATGTCGCGACATTTCTCTTGTACGAATGTCAACTGAAGTCAAATCTTGAACTGTTTACATTTATCAGTTGCGACGCTTTTTCCCCCGGTCTCGCAATCCGGTGGAGGGCTATCGTGGATTGGCAGCACGCGCAACTAATTCCGACACCAAAAGATTGGGCGCCAGGTGCGACGGATCGCACCACCGTACACTATTATATCTAACGCGATATTTATTCCCGGCAATACCTCAAGGCGTAGGGCTCTTTCAGGGAATTCGGAGAGAGGCGTCACGCAATCAATCACACACAAGAGAATAAATAATAATAACATATGATATATTTAGTCAGGTAATATCAATAGGTGTAGGTATAATCGGTCTGAGCCTCTCGCATTACCGCAAACATGTCGGATAAGCTGACGCACGAATGCCGCATAAATAACGCAATAAGTGCACGCGGTAATGTCGAATATTAAACACTGTAGATTAACGCACGCGAAGTTAGATCAACGCAACAGATAAACGCAGACGAACACACGAAAGCTTAACATAAGAAACAATTACGATTCAGGTATCGCGGTACCTTGCTTCGAACTCACAACGAACTTACGCCACAAGGCCGACGAACCGACTCGCCGCACCTTCGGTTGCTCCTTCAACGCGCACCCGGGCCACCCCGATTCCGCACGACGCAAAAATTATGGGCGATCTCGCCGTGTGGTCCACGCTGGCCGGCGATTGCCCCCGAACACGAAATAAGGACTCGTATCGCGGACGATCCCGCGGCTTGCCACGCGAATCCCAAATTCTCTCGCAAGCACGGAGATTCCGCGACCCCGCGCCGATCCCGTCGATCTCTCCGTCCCGCCAAACACAATATTCGCCGTCCTCAAGGGCCCGGATACGTTACTCAAATACGAGGGCGAGTGCCCTTCAAATTACATGACCACTCGCGGCTTGCCGTTACCCGCACAACTTGCTCTCGTTATCGCCACGCAAGGCATCGCTCTCAAATATGGCCAAGACGCGACACGATTACGAACATCTCTAACACAATGAAACGCGACACGATTACGAATATGAACACCATGAAACGCGACACGATTACTTACATTAATACAATGAGACGCTACACAATTCGACCCGATTAATCCGACTCACATATTCCAACGCCACGCGACTGTCGGCCGTGGCGGTGCTCGCGGGGAGGGCACGATTGGTCTCTACGCACTGGAGAGCTCACTCTCGGCAAGGCCCTGGCACAATTTTCGCCCGACTCTATCTTAATGCGAGCGCCAGGTAACGCACGCGCTCATCTCGCAGTCCACAGGTAATCCTGCGGCGCTCAGGTAACCGATGCGTGCCATGGGCCAGTGCCTCGAGCGAACCCTCTTTGCTTAACGCGGGGACGCCAGAGTGGTGACTTTACAATGCGTCGTATTTTCTTCGTTGGTCCGGGCAGCTCGGGATCCGGGTGATGCTCCCTGTTTCCTCGCTGGCACGACCACAGTATATACAGTAGCGCCACAGTATATACAGTAGCGCAACTCTCTGTCGGCGCCTTTGATGTTAGTGTTGTCCAAAATGGAGTGCGCATGCGCGAAATAAGTAAGCGCCCACTAGCACCAACTGAACGGCCACGTTCAGGCAGACACAACTGTTAAGTGTCGTCTTATCGACACGCTACGCTGATTCGTTGGATCTAAAAGTATAAGAGCCAATCACGTGCTATTGAGCGGTTTTACGCGCCCAACGTCTTTCTCTGAACTTCTTTCTCAATTGCTCTTTCTTTCTCCGCTCTCACTCCACTTTTACATGAAATTAATCTGAATTTAATGAAAATAATAAAGATAAATATTTATTATGTATCTATTAAAAATAAGAAAAAAAATTCAAAAATGAGAAAAAATAAAATTATATAAATGTGATTGCAGATTGAATAATATAAATGTATTGAGGTAAATTATTAGAAAATATAATGTTATATAACATATATTGAACAACCGAAAAGCAAAATATAATATTTTATACATTATACTTATAAGAAAACAATTATAATTATAAAATATTTAACATAAAATAGTTTTATTACATTAAATGAAATAAACGAATGATTTAATTATGCATCCAAAATAAAAATAAGATATACTATATTCATGCTTAATTTAAAATGCGATAAATAAATTTTAATTTTAATACGACGATATGTTCCCGGATAGCACGGAAAATTGAAAAGGAATTTTTTTTAAATTCTCGATTTAAAAAATTTTTAAAGTATTTTTTCCGTATATTATTTCTGTCCCAAAACAACTCTTAAGAGTTCAAAAGAAATTCTTTTCTATGTCACCAATTCTGAGTTCTTTTTCAGATACAAAAAAAATCACTTTTCTACTCCATAAGAATTCGTAATATATTCGAAATTATGTTTAGATAGTATTCTAATAGAGCTCTATCTAAGCGCTATTTCGAATGCATTGCGATTTCTTATAGAATAGAAAAATAATTTCTTTGTATCTGAAGGATAAGAAATGTACTAATCCATTTTATGTTCTTTCTGATGCAGAAACTGTTTTCGGATAGATTATGAAGGATTCTTTCTTATCCGATGTTACAGACAGAATATTATAGGATTATAAACACTGAAATTAGGAATATAAATATAGGAAAATATAAAATAGAATCCATGACTCCTATATCGATTAATGATTATATTACTAAATTGGTATACAGATTTGAAATATTGTATCATTAATTGTTATAACAAACAATTCGTATAATATGAGCGACATATTTATCGTACATACAGACATGCAAAATAAAATTTTATATGCAAAATAATCAATGTATACCTAATATGATATATTGAAAATATAAAAGTGTCTCGAAAGAGTGATCGAGTAACGATTCGAAATTTTACAAACATATTGTTACTTCGCAGAAGCAGCGAAGATTGTTGTATTTCGGACGCGCTTCCGCGCGTTCCGTTAATGCTTCATTGGATGAGAGTCTATACCCGATAAAAACAGTCACGTCACATCCACGTCGAATCCACGTAATTTCGTCGTATCCACATCGAATCCACGTAGCAATAACGTGGATCCGTACTGTTTTTATCGGGTATGTACTTCGATAGATATGCATCAATCAATTGGCAGTAATTTATGGCTTATATAAAATGTATCTGGATAGAATAATGACATATGTATTATATTATCTCGATGATTCCCATACGCCGGATTGAGCATTGCATTTATAAATTTATAAAATTTCTTCTAAGAGCCGTTCTGATCCGAGTGAGCAAAAGTCCACATACAAAAATCCACATACGAAGTTGCAACACCATGGATTTAATAGCACTTTGATATTCCCATTTAAGATAGCAGATACAATGAAAGAATCTATGGATAGATTTGAATATATTCTGTCTAGTCTTAGAAGTGTCGATAGGTTTCCGTTTAACGATGCTAAACTGGTAATAATTTCTGCTCCGGTGTCAGTCTTCAAGGATAATACAACCTGTCTTGTATTTAAATGTAAATCAGGTACACTGAATTTCCTCGATTTCGTCGGCACTGCTATATTTTGCGAATCCATATCCGTAGTTTCATTCTTCTCTGTAGGTACTTGCACGTCGTCATCAATAAAACACGATAATACCTAGAACATTGATATAATTTAGAACTGTTGAAAATATATACGAATATGTTATACATTCTTTGTTGAGTTACCTTATTCCGTATGTTATAAAGTTGATTGAGCCGGGATAAAGAGAAATGTACTTTCGTCGGTCGTCCCATTTCAATGAAAAACTGGCGGTTTTTGCCTAGAATCATTTCAGATTTTATTGTCGCAAAAGAAGGTGGAATACCCGTGTCTGGATGTGGATCTCCATGATTTGTTTCTATCATATAAATTTTGAAATCCTTCTCGCTCGGTATTGCGTTTAGATTTTGTGCATTGCCGAGCGCTATAGCTGTTATTGTTATATCGAAACAAGATATCTATAAATTCCGCAACAATATTAATTAAAATAAAATATTTGATAATATGCCACATTAATATTAAATGACGTATTAATTTTTTGTAAGTAAGATGGTATAATACGTACGTACTTGTATCTTTTTAGATAAATGTTGCTGAGAGAATATGTTATCTTTCCGCAATTTACTAAAAATTCAAACGGTGGAAGTATCATATAGTTTCAACCATGGACCTTCCCTACAAGAAAAAAAAATCATTACTTTTAATATAAATTCTGAATTAAATCATGAAACGCTGTTATATGATAACTTACAAATTGTATTGTATTGTGGAATGCATGCTGGACATTTCAAAATCGACACCACTATCTTTTGTGAAGTCGATCTGAATCATCTGACGTCTGTTTCAGCCAGAAATTTGCATTTTAATAAGTATTTCAGAAATGTAACCGTTCATAGACAACGTAGAATCAAGCAGCAATTCTTTCTAGATATTAGAGTATCACAGAGTTAGTTTCACAAGATAAATAGATAAACGATATTCTTAATTTAAGCATGACTGATTTTAAGTACAATGATTATGAATAATTATCCTACCTTCTGAGGTTTGTAACCACTTTATACTCCTAAACTCTTTTCACTTTCATCACAAACGTAGTTATTCAGAGTCTGTCAAACACTTCTAACAGCTCTCAATAGCATTCAGTGGGTAATTGAGTTAATTCTCTCCAAATTTCTGTTCCAATACAGATAGGCATTTACTTAACTGACCATTTAAATTCTGAGAGGGAGCGGAGCAGAACGGAGAAAGGAAGAGCAATTGAGAAAGAAGTTCAGAGAACGACGTTCAGATGGTGTTAGTGGGCGCTTACTTATTTCACGCATGCGCACTCCATTTTAGACAACAAGAAATCAGGAGAGTTGCGCTACTGTATATACTGTGGCACGACAGTGTCGGAAACGATGGCCTGCCGGGATCGCGCCGGTTCCCCGCGCCTGCGCTGTAGCGTGTCGCTCGACCGGATTGCCGATCCTAGCGCTCCCCGCGCCTAGGCCGCACGTGCGCCGCTCCTTCCGGGGGCGCCACTCCAATTCTAGGGCGCTCTCATCGGCGCCTCAGCTTCTCGCGCGCCTCCCCTTCCGGCGGCGCCGCTCCAACTACCTCCGATTCGACGCGGGCTTTTCGAATCAACCGGCTGTCCGGGCCGCGATGATCGAGTCGGCGTTCGGGGTCAGGCTGGCCGGGCCTCGGCCCCGTCCGCCGGCATCTCCTCGGGGCGACGGCCCCAGGGAAAGGCGCCTTTCCGTGGGCCGCTCCTCGGCACCCTGGTCTGACTGGCGTTTCGCTCGAGGGTGTCCCGGGGTCTTCCAAACTGTTATCCGGCCGCTGTTGCGACCGAGTACGGAGTGAACTCCGGCCGGCGACGCTCATGCACTTGCGGGGAGGTCCGGGCGATCCGACTTTCAGCCATGTCCCCTGGCCGTCTCCTTAATCCTCTGCCCTTCCTCGTTGCGGCTCCCGGCCGTTACAGGTTGACTCCGGCCACCACTGGCGATCCCTTAAAAACTTAACAGCTAATTAGACCAATTAATATACGCAACCGCCCTCCCCTCGCTCTAACGAGGAGGCATCCCCGAATTCCCCTCGGCTGAGCCCGTCCGGGAAGTAGACGCGACTTGTCACGTCACACAGTAGATAAATTGATACGTAATCGAATGAAAAGTTACATTATAAAACCAGTAATTATACAAGTGTCTAGAATATATCCATAAAAATAGTTTTTCTTAAAATAAAATTTAGCCCTTATATTGACTCATATGGTACATGGCCCAATCACCTTAAGTGAAAATATTCTTAAGTTTTTCATAAATACCTCAAGACTATCTACTATATATATATATATTTTTTTACAAATCAGACAATTTGCAATCATTCAGCATACACGAAAAATCTTTTTTTAATTTTTTTGAAAAATATTTTTTTGGTTGATCTCAAATTTTTGAATTTTTGTCGAAGATAGATTGCAAAATGTTTGTTCCGGAAAAATAACTACTGAACATTTTTACTGGATTATATAAAAATCTCTAAGAAATAAATTATATCTTTTTTTCTATTAGTCCTGGCACTTTGAAATTTTAGCACGTTATTACACACGACTGAATGTATTTAAAGAAAAAACTAGCTCAATTAAACATGGCACTTCTGAGATAATTAATTTTTTATTCGTTTTTTATGAAAAAAAATAATAAAATTAATATGGTAAAAAATAAAAATTACCATCTCAAAGTACAAGAAAAATCCAACATTTTTTATGTATACAAATTTTTTTTACATAAAAGAACTTTTGAGTTAAAAATTTCCGAAAATATTAATTCTTGAAAAAAACTCAAAATTCAACTGTTGATATCTACTGAAATAACGTCCATAAAATTCTGAAAAAAATTGAGAAGAAACCTATCATTTAGTACAATAACATACTGCAAAACAAAAGAAATCGGTGAATGCGAGTGAAAAAAAAGTTAAGATTCCATGGAATACCCCATATATATATATATATATTAGGGCGGCAATTTTTTAGGGTCAAAAATATGATTTTAAGTCTTACCCCTAAATGCGTTCTACGAACTCTCAAATGAAGACTTTTGAAGAGCAGGCGCTGTAACTTAATATTTAGAGGTCGCTCAAAGCCTTTAAACATTAAATTTTTTCCAAAAAGTGGTAAAAAACTGCATTTTTCACTCATTTTTACTGCTAAATCTTTTTTAGTTACCTTATTAAAGTACCTGGCCATCAAGTTTGAGGTACAACACATGAAACAAAAACGTAAATATAAGTAATTAAGTAATTAATGCAATCTTTGGCATAAAATCATCTATAGCAAATATAAAATGATTTAATGAATTAAACCATTTTTTAACTATCCACGGCTTATAATTTTGTTTTGTAAGTAAATATATCAAACGCCACTTTAGAAAAACATTCTATCATCTTCAAACTAAAGCTTCTCTAAAGTTATATGCTGTAGCTTAATGGTCATTAATTGCTTCAAAATATTGCTATTTTATTAAATAGTGAACTTAATGTAATTTTCTACATTAAATCCTTTTATTATTTTGGAAAATAAATTATATTATCAATATATCATTTAAATTAAGTCTACGTTTTCCGCAGAAAATTTTCGTGCATCGCATTTATTAGATTTCATATAGTTTACACTAGGTGATTGTTTTAATGAATTTTGTATCGTACAAAAATTGTTAAAAATGGTTAAATTCATTAAATCATTTTATATTTGCTATAAATGATCTTATGTCAAAGATTGCATTAATTACTTATATTTACATTTTTGTTTCATGTGTTGTACCTCAAACTTGATGACTAGGTACTTTAAAATAAAGTAACTAAAAGAGATTTAGCAGTGAAAATTAGTGAAAAATGCAGTTTTTTTCCACTTTTTCGAAAAAAATTTGATGTTTAGAGGCTTTGAGCAACTTCTAAATATTAAGTTACAGCGCCTGCTCTTCAAGGGTCTTTATTTGAGAGTTCGTAGAACAAATTTAAGGGGGGATTCTAGTGTAACAGGCCAAAAAACAAGCGATTTTTAAGAATTTTTTTCTAGAAAACTATTAATGATAGCCAAATAAAACTTTTTGGGATAAAAAGAGGCATTCTTAAGGGGTGAGACTTAAAATCATACACGGAGAAAATTTTATAGTAAATATTACTATGGTGTTGCACTAGCTGCGGACCATCGAGGAATTTCAAATTAAAATACTATAATTATTGTTTTAAAAATGATTAAATAACGTAATTTTTACCATAAACATAGTAATTTAACTTAAAATTCCTCGATGGTCCGCAGCTAGTGCGACACCATAGTAATATTTACTATAAAATTTTCTCCGTGTATTTTTGACCCAAAAAAATTGCCATCCTAATATATATACCTGAGACCACCATTACGGGCCGGGTACATACCGGGTATCTAAGACTACCCGCCCACCCCTTTTTTTTCAAAAACTAAGCATTTTAGAGAAAAACGTTCCAGACAAAAATTGTATGGTTTTGAGGGAAACATAAGATGGTGTCATTGATTTGACCTTGGGTGGCATCGTTAAGGTCAGGTCAAGTACACATTTAGTTTCTTAAATAGAACCCCCTATTTTTTATTGCACATTCTTATAGGTTATGTCGAGAGCTTTCAAAAACATTATAATTAAGTATTTTTTCATTAAGTACTTTTCGAGTTATAAGGCTTGAAAGTTACAGTATTGTGACATAATATTTTGTTAAGTATTTATAATTCAAATTTCTTACTTTTTATTTTTGTAAACAATATGAATCAATTAATGTAAAAAAACAAAATTTTCTTGCAGAAAAACTTGTTGTGTAAGAGCGTAATGTGGCACAGTAGATAGCGCACTAATCTACAAAGTTGAAGAACAATTTTAATGCCATTTATAATGAGTGTAATTCTTGTACCGTTGTTAAGAACAATGTCTAAAATACCTGGAATAAACTATTGCGCGTTGTGTAATTTCTGTAGGCATTCATATTCATGCATTAAGTTTCATTCTTACAGAATGTCTATTCACCAAGTACATATTGAATTACTTTCGACAAAGACTTAAATTTAGCGTATACCATGAAAGAAGAGTACCGATTTTTTATTGCGTGATTGATAGTTATTGAAAAAGCACCCCGAATCGTGAGAGGCAAGGGGACTCACGCAAATCAAGCACCCCGAATCGTGAGAAGCTAAGAAAATAATGAATATGCAATAAACAGTTACACAACAAATTTTTCTTTAAGAAAATTGTTTTTTTTACATTAATTGATTCGTATTGTTTGCAAAAATTAAAAGTAAGGAATTTTAATTATAAATACTTAACAAAATATTATGTTACAATACTGTAACTTTCAAGCCTTATAACTCGAAAAGTAATGAAACTTAATGAAAAAATACTTAATTATAGAGTTTTGGAAAGCTCTCGACATAAGCTATAAGAATATGCAATAAAAAATAGGGGGTTTTATTTAAGAAACTGAAGGTGTCCTTGACCTGTCCTTAACGATGCCACCCAAGGTCAAATCAATGACACCATCTTATGTTCCCCTCAAAACCATACAATTTTTGTCTGAAACGTTTTTCTCTAAAATGCTTAGTTTTTAAAAAAAAGGGGTGGGCGGGTGGTCTCAGACACCCGGTATATATATATATATATATATATATATATATATATATATATATATATATATATATATACAATTTCTACAATATATTTGCAATATATATATATATTTTGTAAATGTATTATGGAAATTGTGGATTCTTACATTACAGTATGATACGTATGCGCTATGCGCTACTATTGTCTCTCTCGCTCTTATAGAACATCCTTCAATTGCAGCAATCCTAGCGGTTTCAAGCTGAACAACTTTCGACTTCGTCAAGCGAACCATCCCCACCATACGAGTTGAGAGATCTGTATATATAAGATTGTGGCCAAGACGCACTTGACAGAGGTAGAGAACGGAGTCTCTACCCCGGCGGAGGAATCAATTCGGATCGAGCCAGCCACCGAGAAGCACTCGATGGAGGCAGAGAACGGATCTTCTACCCCGGCGGTAAGCTTGTTTGTATGGATCGATCAAAAACGATGAATTCGCCGAGACGCACTCGACGGAGATAGAGAAGCAGGATTTCTCTACCCCGGCTGATAGCTGATGGGCTCAGGATTCTGGTAATGTCAGCGAAGAGGATCGGTGTGATCGGTAGCTGCATTACGACGGAATCTTATAATTATTAAAAATCCGTGGGCTTATATACCCCGCGGATCGGCGGCGCGGGTAGCGGTAGAACGATGCCGGCGCACGCGAGCGCCGGATTTAAACAATGTGGTCCGGAGATTCCCGACGCCGCGATCGCGCTTCGGCGGTGTTCGTG